TATTTTAAAATTTAAGAAAGCTCTGAACTTTGCTCCTTCAGTTAACAGCTGATTAAAGTGAGTCTGACCTAGATGTAGTGAATTGTGTAAGGCTACACAATTAGCAGTGTTACTGTTTTTTTGTGTTGTTTTGAGACAGCAAAACAGGGTCTGAGTGTGTAGTACAGGCTGGCCTCAAGCTCATGGCGATCCTGCCTCAGCCTCCCAAGTGCCTGCTGTGCGCTACCACATCCCGCCTAATTTTTTTTTAATTAGGTGGGCAGGAAGTGGGGCAAAACTTTGGTATTAACATTTGAAGCATAAAAATTTGTTACCTAAGCAAGTGATACGGGGAGAAACACTGACCTCGGGTGGGTGACCTCCATACGATATAGGGATCCTCCAAGTGACACAGGGAAAAACGATCTCTGGACGTTTTCATTTTTTAGAAAGAATAAAAAATGGTTTAAAAAACCCATTGCAAACAATACAGAATATCACTAAAGAAAATGATAGAAATTCAACAATGGTTATTATATTGCATATTACTGTCTTCAAATTAGTTGTTCAGATTAATAGGTATAAGCATGAAAAACTGGTCAAAACAAAACTTAAGCATTTACTGTCCCTTTCAGTTGACCAGTAGAAATCAGCTACTTATTTTTAAAAACTTTCATAATCCTAAGTCAGATTTATCCTTGTTTCCATTCGCCTTTGCCATTGCCGTGTAAGCAGTGTTTGCTTCTGGTGAGCATGCTGAGCTTGTGCTGTACCCTTGAGCTCCATGCCCAGCCCTCAGGCATTGGTTTTTAAAGGTTGCTTTAAGGGTGTAGGTTTCATTAGGTTGATCAAAAAATATTGAGGGAAGGGGCCGGGGAGATGGCTCAGTAGGATAAGCGCTTGACTGGCAAACTCAAGGATCTGAGTTCAATCCCCGGTTCCATAAAAAAAAAAAAAAAAAAAAAATTGAGGGGGCCTGGGGAGATAGCTCAGTAGAATAAGTACTTTTCCTGGCAATCCCCGGTTCTGAAAAAAAAAAAAAATCCAAAAAATATTGAGGTGGTCTGAGCCAGCTGAGTGAGTTTTCTGCCATATTGTGACAAATGACCTAAAGGCTCCTGCACTGACCTTGGTTTCCCTCCTTCAGCATGAGTAGGGTAATGCAGTATCATGGATGTCGCAGCAACATTAAAGACCGAAGTAAAGCGACTGAGTTGGAGGACAAGTTCGACCTACTAGTTGACACCAATGATGTGATTCTGGAGAGAGTGGTGAGTATTTCACCATATACTTACAGGAATTAAGCAAGAGCTTTTTTATGTTGAAGTCTGAAGAGAAACCCAGGAGCTTTCGGTAAGTACTGCTCACTAACAAGCTGCACTGCTGGAGCTTCACCAAGCAGTTTAGAAAATGAAAAAGTTTAGTATTTTAAACTGGTAAGTTTAGTATTTCTTACCAGTCATAACCTTCCCTTCTGATAGCTGACATCCTTTTGCTTAAAAGTAACTACAGGGCCGGGGAGATGGCTCAGTGGAATAAGTGCTTCCCTGGCAAGCACAAGGGCCTGAGTTCAATCCCCGGTTCCAAAAAAAAAAAAAAAAAGCTGGGTGTTGTGATGCACGCCTGTAATCCCAGCACTCAGAAGACTGAGGCAGAAGGATCACTGAAAGTTTAAAGCCAGCCTGGGTTACATAGTGAGTTCAAGACAGCTAGAACTACACAGCAAGATGCCATCTCAAAAAAAAAGAAAAGAAAAAGAATTACTCCCCATGGAAGCCTATTTTAAGGGTCTGCTTACAAATCTGCCTTCCTGATTTGCAGATTGTGTTTGTATAAGAGACAAGGTCTGAGTAGCAGCCCAGCCAAAATTTAGCCCGTCCTTACTGTTCTTCACACAGTGTGCTAGACACCTCCCCACAGCATGCAAGGAGTAGTCTGTTAGCCCATCTAGCTTATTATCAACTTACTCCTAACTGTATAGTAGAACGTTATTTACAGAATTAGAAACCATCCAGAATAAATGGAACTTTCTACAGTGTCATCCTGGAGACAATGAAATTGTAGTGTTCTGTCCTGTGATGTCACCTCTTCCCAGTCTGGTGCCAACATTCTTTCAGTGGTTTCTTCTCATCTGATTTCCAATCCCGTTGCACTGTCATCTCTCACCTGTGCACACCTCCATTGGCAGTATGCAAACGGACATTGCACGTCTGCAGACTAGTCAGAACTACATATTCTCTCTCTAAATACTCTGCTGCTGTAGTTTTCCCCTGGCTCCAGGAAGGAAGCCTGGTGCCTGGTGCCCTGTGCACTGCTAGGCAGGCACACTATCCTGAGCACGTGCCTCACCCCTCTCTGGCTGTGCTTAAGGTACATGGTCATCTGTCCTTAGTAGTGGCCACGTCACAGTCACAGCATACTTGAATTTTCAGCCCAATTCTAAGTTCTAGTCAGTCAAGAGTTGGGAGTGACGATTGCTCTACCTGTCTTTAAGCACATAATGCTTTATGACTTGGTATGACATTCTAATTACTTCTCAGGTAGTGATAGGCTCTGTTTTGTTTTGTTTTTGAGACAGTGTCTTGCTATGTAGCTCAGGTTGACCCTGAACTCACTGTGTAGCCCAGGCTGGCCTCAAACTCATGGTGATCCCCTGCCTCAGCCTACCAGTTGCTGGGATCACAGGTACATGTGCAAAACCACACCCAGCCTAGGATACATTTTTTTTTTTTAATTTTAACAAAAATTGAGATGTTTTACGTACACGTACCAACTCCCCACAAGGAATGTAGTCATTATGTAATGCAAACATACACTAATAAAGTGAAATAATTTTTTAAGAAAATTTTTAACAAATATATTTCTGGTATACAGTATGATTTGATATTATCATTGATCCATTTACATGTATGTATAGTCTTACACATAATCCTGTAGATATATGTATAATTTTTTTTAATGTCAAATAATTATCTCTGCTAGCCTTAAGGAAAAGTTACCTAATGCCTCTTCTCCTTGTAGGGTATTTTACTGGATGAAGCATCAGGTGTGAATAAGCATCAGCAGCCTGTCCTCCCTGCAGGCCTCCAAGTCCCCAAAACTGTAGTGTCCAGCTGGAACCGGAAGGTGAGGGTAGCTTTCTGGACTAACTAGAGCTCCTGTTGTGAGGGTTACAGCCAACACAGCCTGTTCTAATTTGCATTTCTGTTTCACTTCCTGGATACAGAACTGTTCTAACTTCTCAAACACAGTGCACTATCAGTCAGGGAATGGCTCTTGGAATGAGGCTGTTGCCTCCTTGGAAAACAGAAATTGCAGTTTGCTTTTCTAATTCTTGGAAGTACTATGTTAAAAAGTATTTGCATACATTGATCGTAGGCAGGAGAATATGGAAAAAAAGCCAAATCTGAAACTTTCCGGCTGCTTCATGCAAAAAATATCATCCGACCTCAGCTCAAGTTTCGAGAGAAGATTGACAATTCCAACACACCATTTCTTCCTAAAATCTTCATCAAACCCAATGCCCAGAAGCCCCTCCCTCAGGGTAAGCAGCGCTGCCCGCATTTGTGTTTGAGTCTTCCCCCCAGCCTACTGAAAAGGCCAGCCTGAAGGGGGAAGGTCCCTGCCTGCTTCCTGTCTTCAGAGGAAGTCTTTTACCACCTCCAAAGCTAGAAAAGACAGGAAGGTGTACATTCCCTTTTCATGACTGCTTGGGTCTCCAGTTCTGTCCAAGGAAAGGCGGGAGCGCCCCCAGGACCGGCCTGAGGACTTGGATGTGCCTCCTGCCCTGGCAGATTTCATCCATCAGCAGCGAACTCAGCAGATTGAGCAGGATATGTAAGTGTCTGTCTGCGCGCTCTGCCCACCTTCCAGCCCCATCTGCAGTTGGTTTCTCCCTTTTTACAGAATGTGTACATAAAGAACCTGAGGAAGGGTGGGGAGATGGCTCAGTAGAATAGCGCATCCCTGGCAAAACACAAGGGCCTGAGTTCAATCCCCGGTTCTGAAATAAATAAATAAATAAATAAATAAATAAATAAAACCTGTTTAAAAAAAAATTTAAAAAGAACCTGAGGAGCAGGGGTTTCACCTCATCCTACCATGGATCGTGGTCAAGCCTCCTGGTGAGGTGAAGGATTTTTTTTGGGGGGCCCGCTCAGGATGCCTTCAGGGCAGGTCTGGTTTTGTTTGAGGATGAGAGGATCAAACCACAGCATCCTAAGCCTGACTGCTTTGTTTCAGCAGGCACTTAAACACCTGAGCTAATGGGCAGGCCCCCCCTGTAAGGATAAAATTAGAGATCTTCACTTCCCACAGTGTGGAAATTTAAACCCAGTTCTCCCAAAACTACCTTTTGACTACTACACTGCATTTCTTCTCAGACAGGAGGAGGGCTGACCACTGAATTCAGCAAGAACAGGAGTTCCTCACTGCAGCATAAGCATCCTGGAAAAACTTTGTTTAAAATAGGCAAATAGGCTGGGGTTGTAGTTCAATGGCAGAACGTTTGCGTAGCATGTGCAGGGTCCTGGGTTTGCTACTCAGAACCACCACCAAAAATGAACAGTGGGCTTCAGTGTACTGATGAAAGGGAATAAGAACAGCTAGGATCAGCTGTTTCCTGCATTTGGCCCATCCATTTCAGCATTCCCCCCTTCAGCCCCTCTCTGCTACAAAAGGCCACTGGCCACTTGCTAGGAAAGGAAAAGCAGTGAGTGGTGATGGTGCCTACAGAGAGCTCACCAAGGATATGGCATTTTTTGCTTTGATTTTCCTCTCTTAGTGGTACTGGAGATTGAACCTGGGACCTTCACAGTTCGTATCCTCAGCCCATGTCTGTTCTTTATTTTGAGAGAGAGTCTTGCTAAGTTGCTCAGCCTTGGCTCCAGCTTGTAATTCTCTCAGCCTCCTAGAGTTCCAGGATAATTAATAGTCGTGCCCCACTGCACACAGCTCATAGTTGGGATTTTTATGAAAATACAGGAGAAAAGAACAGAAAAACCTAATATTTAGCTCCTGAACAACTGAATATTTACACTGTTCTTTGTGACTTTACAAATTTGTTATTCTAAACCACAAAGCATTACTTTTTTTTTTTTTTTTGCAGAACCAGGGATTGAACTCAGGCCCTTG